TATATATATTTTTTTTTTTTTTTTTTTTTTTTATATATATATATATATATTTCATATTTTAGTGTTTGTGAGCAAGATATTCAAGATTTTATTTATTTACTTTTTTTGTCAAATAAATTAAAAACAAATTGAGATCTGTTGAAACTTCCTACTTTTTAATTATTATTTTTTTTTTACTTTGAACTTGTTATTCTTGTGTTTATTTTTGTTACTTTTTAATGTTACTTTGAACTTATGTTATTCTTATGTTTATTTTTGTTACTTTTTAATGTTACTTTGACTTTTTTCAGTTAACTTGTAGCAAATGAAGGAAATAATCGAATGAAGTATCGGTGTTTATTTTTGTTACTTTGAACTTATGTTATTCTTATGTTTATTTTTGTTACTTTTTATTGTTACTTTGAACTTATGTTATTCTTATGTTTATTTTTGTTACTTTTTATTGTTACTTTGAACTTATGTTATTCTTATGTTTATTTTTGTTACTTTTTATTGTTACTTTGAACTTATGTTATTCTTATGTTTATTTTTGTTACTTTGAACTTATGTTATTCTTATGTTTATTTTTGTTACTTTGAACTTATGTTATTCTTATGTTTATTTTTGTTACTTTTTAATGTTACTTTGACTTTTTTCAGTTAACTTGTAGCAAATGAAGGAAATAATCGAATGAAGTATCGGGTTAGGTTTGCTAGACCCGGTCTCAAACAGGTCTCGGGTGTGTTTGTGTGTGTTTCAGTGGAGAACGAGAACCACTGCGACTTCGTGAAGCTGCGCGAGATGCTGATCTGCGTGAACATGGAGGATCTGCGCGAGCAGACGCACACGCGGCACTACGAGCTCTACAGACGCTGCAAGCTGGAGGAGATGGGCTTCAGAGACACCGACCCCGATTGCAAGCCTGTCAGGTGAGAGCTCGTTAACCACGGCTGCTCGTTAGCTGCTCTGGAGACGGGAGCATGGGAACTGTTTACTTAACCTCGCTCACACAGACATTCCTCAGATTTCTGGTCGGCTTCTCAAAACAGAGAAAGAATGGAATCTCGGCTAATAACGAGACCCTTCAGAGCTGCACTCATTCAGAGAAGGAGAGTCTGAAACATGCAGTCTGACCACATTTAAAGCCATGAAGTCTTAATATGTGACTCTGGAGCACAAAACCAGTCATAAGCGTCAATTTTGTGAAATTGAGATGTGTGCAGCATCTGAAAGCTGAATAAACAAGCTTTCCATTGATGTACGGTTTGTTAGGATAGGACAATATTTGAAAATCTGGAATCTGAGGGTGCAAAAAAATCTAAATATTGAGAAAATCATCTTTAAAGTTGTTCAAATGAAGTTCTTAGCAAGGGTCACATATTAAGACTTGGACATTATACGCAGAGTTATAGTAAACTTAAAAAAAAAAAACATTTTCGGTACTTGAAATAAAAAATGTTAACTGAAATAAAAAATTAAAGAATATATTTTATATATAAAAATATATTTTTTTATGCATTTCTCATTTTCTTTCAATTTAACTTGATGCACTAAAATAACTAAAACTTAAATAAAAATGAATTAAAAAAAATGAATAAAAGTGATGAAAGCACGCAACAAAGAGATTAAAAATGTAACTTAAAATTAAAAAACTGAAAATATAAAATTAAAACGAATTCAAAATAGTATTAAAACTATTAGTATTATAAGCCTTAAATATTTAAAATGGTGTAGCAAAAGTTTTAATTATCAAAACAGGAATATGATTAATAAACCTGAAGAAAATGCTTTGAATGAAACAAGTGTGAGCGCAGCACATTTAAAGTCAGAACGCGGCGCTTTTCATTACTTGGAAATAAAATATAAAATGTAAAAATATATTTTATAATGCATTTCTCATTTTCTATTTTCTCTCAGTTTAACTTGATGTTAACTCGGTTTAACTTGACCAAAATAACTAAAACTGACATAAAAAATAATAAAAACTAAATAAACATTTAAAAATAAACTAAACTAAAAGTGACAAAAACACAACAAAATGACAAAAAAAAAATTACTTAAAATTAAAATAAAAACTTAAAATTAAAACTAATTCAAAATGTTAATAAAAACTACAATGATGATGCATACATCTCAATTAAAAACAAAAATGACATTGTAAGATGCATGTTTTATCTCCCTCATTTTTAGAATGAGCTGCTGAAACAAGTAAAGCATATACATTTCAAAATAAGAGTCCCGGTGCATTTTGGGCTTGTTTGTGACTAAAAGTCCTGCATTAAGTCATTTTTCCTGGTTATTATTGGTATATTAGCTACATAATAAACTGTATCTGGTATTTAATGAAGTGTAAAGTCTATGTGGCGCATTATTTAATATTTCTCTGATGCGGCGTCTCATTAACCCTGACTGAAGACGAGGCTATTAGAGCTGCTGAACCCCCCTGAGATTAATAAGCAGAAACTGAGCTACATCTGATGGTGCTGTTAAACAGTCTTCAGCAGACGTACGAGGAGAAGCGGCAGGAGTTTGTGGGCGAGCTGCAGAGACGAGAGGAGGAGATGCGACAGACGTTTGTGCAGAGAGTCAAAGAGAAAGAGGCCGAGCTGAAGGACGCAGAGCGAGAGGTACGAAACACGCTTTACTTATTTACCAAATTGCGTTTTTTCCCTTTTTTTTTTTTCACATTTAAATTTTTATGGATTCCGTTTTTTGTTTTAATTTCTCTGGACTCCTTTTAAATGGTTAAAATAATCCAAAAGCATACCTAATTAATTAAAATCGTGAAACCTATACAATTTAACAACTGTTTAATAAAGGTGTAACATAAAATACATTTTTAGGGCCCTATGAATTCTGTTTTGTTTTTTCCTCAAATCTCATTTTTTACCAAATTCTGTTTTTTCCGTTTTAATTTTTCTGGATTACATTTTAAATTAAATCTTAATAAAATTTTAATAATCAAAAAGCATGTCTAATCAATCAAATTCATAAAAACTAATTGTTTTTTTTTAACAATAATAGTGCCTTTTTTTGTTCTTTTTTTTTTTCTGTGCTGTGTATTTTAATCTTTCTTTTCTTGTAATCAAATGAAAATTAAACAAACCCTTTTTTTGTGTGTGCTGCACAACAGAGGTTTACTGTTCAAATTAAAACATGTAAGAACGATGTGTGATTATTCTTTAGAAAATAAAGCTTTAAAGTTTAATTTAAAAGGTTAATTGTAAGATACAAAAGTTGTAATCAATTTATTATTAATAATAGTAGGAGTAGTTACATTAAGACGTACATTTTAGGCCTGCTGTAAAATATTCATTTATTTCTGTCACAATTTGTTCAAGTTAAATCAAACTTTTATTTTGACGGGTTGCTGTGAGCAACGAGGGCAAACATTTAGCATTTTAATCAGTTAGTATTGTCTTAAATAGCATCATCTTTTATAACATGGGATTTCGACCAAATATATTCAATCTTGATTTTTGTAAAATGTTGCAACAAGATGTTATCTTTTTTTTTTTTTTTTTGGTGAAATATTAGAGTTTCTCGGACATATGGGTCAAAGACGTTAAGATGTCCGCATCAAAAGAAATTTACAAAAGTGATTATATGTCGATAGAAAGCACATTAACTGTAAGTAAAGTGTCTACTTTTAAGGTTTCAAATACGTTTTTAGAGAAAATGTTACAATTTGGTTGAAATAATGTTGCATTGTCATTCAGTGTAACACTTATATTTATGTAAAAATTCAAACATGCTTATTCTGACGTGTACAGATTAAAATATATAAAAGAATAAGTGAGCATATAAGTGAGCATATTACATTTTATTGTGTTTTAAATTAGTAAAAAAATCTTACTGACAAGTGGCACATTTAAAAAACGAATTAGTATTTGGGGTGAAAAGTAATTAGTCTTTTAATATGTCATAAATTGATTTTTGTTTGTTGTAAATATGCCTGACAAGATTGTTACACTGAATGACATTTTAGTGGGTCTCTTCTGTAAATCAGGGGAAAATGTATCATATTTATTTTTTGCTCAGAAAAACAGAAACAAAATTTCAATTAAATTAAACAGAAAACTTTTTAATTTTTTTTTGGGGTGGGGAACAACAATTTAAAGCAGTATCACACTTATTGTGCTTTTTGACTTTGACCCATATAAGGTAGTAAAACTACAAGCGAGCATGTAAAGCAAATATCTTGCATGCATACCATGCAGTCTTCTCAGCTGTCTGCATGCGTGTACAGTAAACTCTGTGTGTGCTCCAGCTGCAGGGCAAGTTCGAGCAGCTGAAGCGAATGCATGCGGAGGAGAAGAGCAAGCTGGAGGAGAAGCGCCGGAGCCTGGAGGAGGACATGAGCGTCTTCAGCAAGCGCAGAGCTGCCAGCGAGCTCCTGCAGGCGCAGGCCTTCAACACCAGCTCCAACAACAAGAAGGACAAAGACCGCAAGAAGTGAGTTCCTCCCAAACACTGCACACAAAAGCAGACATGGCAGCTTACTGTATATTACCAGTGTTAACAAAGTGAGAAAGCAGGGGTCGGAAGTTATAATGAATGCAAATTAAATATCACATATTTAGAGAGGATAATAAACTGGTGAGTACAATATAAACAATAGAATTATATATAATGATATATAAAAATATAGGCATGCAAATTTTACTAATACTAATATTTTACTGTCTTTTAACAATTAACCAATCAACATATGAAACGTTTGTGTTGTTTATCAGAGATGACAAGAAATAGTTAATTGGTATTGTCTCTAGATCCTGCTCAGTATTTACATGGTCAGATGTAAAATAGAATTATATTGACAACTTCCAGCAAAATGAAAATGAAGGGAATGTAGTTTATTATAAATAAAAATTTAATATTATAATATTTATTATAAATAAAAATGCAATATTTAATAAATAAAATGTTATTAAATATTAAATTTAATTTATTATAAATAAAATTAAGTGTATGATAAACTGGTGAGTAAAATATTAACCATTATATTAATTATGATTTAAATGATGATGATGATAAATTTCCTCAGTTGGGATGATTAAGCTTTGTCCTCATAAATAAAATATAATACATAATTTTTATATTACCAGCTTCCAACAAAATGAAAAGGAAGAGAATTAGGTCAACCTATTTATTATAAATGAAAATTAAATATTATAATATTTATTATAAATAAAAATGCAATATTTAATAAATAAAATATAATTAAATGTAATTTATTAATTAAAATTAAAAATACGATGAACTGGTAAAATATAAACAATACAGTTATAAATAATAACAATAATAATAATTACTAATTTCCTCAGTGGTGATTATCAATTTGGCATGAAGCTTAATCCTCATAAGCCTCATAATCTTAAAATGCATAATTTTTGTGCAAGACTGCCTTTTTAAAATATATGTCTACATATTTTAAAACTAACATGTTTTGCCCTTTTTATTTGCTTATCAGTTAACCAACTTACAATACTTTTGTCATTTTTATTGGAGCTCTTGATGATTTATTTTTTTTTTTTAAATTAGGATGAACAAATTGAACAAGCTGTCAAGAAATTGCTAATCGTATCATCTGTAAAATCCTGATCAGATTCTAATGAATCCTGCTTAATATTTACATATTCATTGTATAAAACTGACAGAAATCACAGATGATTAGTAAATGCATGTCACGGTGAAAGTGATTATGGGAGTTTTTGCTCATCATGTCGCTGTTTGTGTTCTCACAGCTGATGTTTGTCGTTCTTCAGCTCTGGGTTCATGTGAAGGCGAGGCAGAAACACACAGCAGTGTTAGAAATCTACATCGCACCAGCATTACGGTACTGAATCACGGACACCTTTGAAGAACAGCACACCACTTCACTTTGGGGCCTAAAAACAAATCATTTCTTATGAGCACGATGCAGATGTTTATCACAGAATATGCTCGTTTGAGAACATGTTAATCTACTATTTTTACTGGTAAGCGTATGATTATTCTGCTGGGGACTTGTGTTTTTATGGTTGTGGGGGGCTAAAAACATTAATCAGAAATATACTATAGTAGTTTACCACAAATGTTTACCTTGCATTTATTTTCCACATTTTATACTCGTGTATTTAAACAGTGTTATTTCGGGTGATGTTTTAACCAAATAAACTTGTATTTTTCTGCAAATTGTATTTCTTGCGTTCTCTGTGACTAACAAATGATCTGGCTTTAGTATATATATATATATATATATGTATATATATCATATTATATATAATAAAGGACATTTTATAAATATAACAAGAATGAGTAGAATTCAGTTACTTAATTGAATTATATTACAAATTAATGACTTTTTTTATATATATATAAATATGAAGTATTTTAATTATTCAGATATTAAATATTCATATATTAAACGCTAAATTGCAATGCCAAAAGAAAAACAAAAAAAACAAACTGAAATCATAATTATTCCCCCCCCTCAACAGCTATTGTTTTTATTGAAGAACATACAGTAGAATTCCTGAAACTTTTAGAATCACAAAATGAATCATGGTTTAATATCATTAAATAATGTTGAAAACAATCTTTGTCATGATAACAGCAGAAATGCCAAATGTGTCTTGCTAAGAATATATATATATATATATATATATATATACAGCCTGACAAACCTGTATTTGAAACTAGATTATTTCCGTAAAAATCGCTTTGTGAGTTTATGAAAACGGGATAAATTAAATCATAAAAATTTTCAAAATAATAAAAAAAAAAAAACTCAAAATTAAACAATTGATTAAAGTTTTTTTTTACTTGCATGGCATGCAAATGTGTTGTTAAATTGTTGAAATATTAACTTAAAAGTACATATTTAACCCACATGAAAAAATACTAGTCATTTATAGTAAATAGTGTTTTTGAACCATACTATAGTAAAGTGTTATACTGTATATATCACAGTATTTACAACACGTTGTTAATGAATGCTACAGCATACTGTAGTATTAACTATAGTGAACTGATAAACTGTAATAAATACTGTAGTATACTTTAGATTTGACTACAGTAATCTGTAGTATAATGTACCCTATAGTTGTATTATAGTATTGGGTAAAGTCATTTGTTTATATTACTATAGTTGTATTATTACCACAGCAACTATAGAATTACCACAACAAATTAATTCAAGTACTTTACTATAGTATGGTTCAAAAACATTTACATTTAGTCATTTTGCAGACACTTTTTTTCCAAAGCGACTTACAATTTGGGGAATACACGAAGCGATTCTTCTTAACGAGGCAAACAGTCAGAGGAAGTGCTCACAATACCAATTTCAGGCATTATTCAAATACGTACAAGCTAGAAAGGGAAGGAAGGAATAAATGAAGAGAAAGACAAAGTTTTGAAGCCATGTGCCTGTATGATGGGACCCAGTGATGTAGTGTATATGGAGAAGAGGAGCGGTCCTAGAACTGAGCCCTGAGGAACCCCAATGACCAGTTGATGTGCTTTGGATACCTCGCCTCCCCGAAAGACCTACCAGTGAGATAGGATTCAAACACTATGGTATTCACTATAAATTACTATAGTATACTATTACTATAGTATTTTTTCATGTGGGTTTTGGGGGTATATTTTCAATGATTGAAATAACTATGACTGAAATATTTTTGGGTTTCATCTGACAAAAAAAGTTTGTGAATACCTCTCGTGTGACTAGCATTCAGTCGCTGGATGGCGTCATGTGACTGTTATGGTCCTGAAATGAGCGCGATTTCTGACTGGACAGGTTTGAGGTAAAGTTATTATAGCTAATACGGTGCTTCAAAAAGCAGATGAGTTTACCATCAAGATGAGTATGTTATGAAAATGATGTCTTGATTAGCTCATCTGTTTATAAGTTTGTGTTTGGAGCTGTTATATCTCTTACACACGATGTGTTTTGATGTCATTAAGTGTTGAATTTCATTCAGTGAAACTACAAAACTAAATCATCCCAGTCTGCTCGATTAACGCACAAACTGTGGTCAACATAACCCAAACCAGCAGCTCTCTACTAGTCTCTTCTAATGGGTCTCTGACAGCAGCGAAAACAAGTAATGTTAATTCAGTTCAATTCATTTCACGTTTATTTGCATATCACTTTTCACGATACAAATCGCCGCAAAGCATCTTCACAGAAAATTAAAGTTTTAATCAGCAGTTTATCAGTGGTGAATTGCTAAAAGCAAATAATAAAATACAACTAACTAAAAATCATTTATAGTTAGAATCATGAGCTCTTAAAAGGGACAAAACAGTTCCCAAATCGTGTTGTTGATGTCAAAAGTTGTTAAACCGAATAATAAAATCATCCAAATTTTCAAAATAATTAAAAAATAAATCATTTTAAAAACAGAAGTCACTAAATTCCAATAAAAACACAGTTTTGCATTAAGTCAGGCAAAATTAATGAATAAGACAAAAAATACCCCAATATGCACAAGTGTTTTTTATTTTTTATTTTAAATTTTTTAATTAATTAATAAATGTTTTAAATAAGCGCCAACCATTGAACAGGAGTGTATTTAGTTTCAGTCTTAGTGTGAATGGACCATTGGTCTCCAATTTATTTCAATAAGTCTGAATAGATCTTAAAACTAAAAACACATACCTTGTATTTTCCTGAGATGTTTCTCGAGGCAGCATCATTGTGATGCTTGGCATTTCTCAGCTTGCACGATCAATCTCTCCTCGTCCGTATTTGATGACGAATATACTTTGCTCAGATGAGTTTTCAGTGTGGACGGATCAACTTTCTGAAATACAAACCAGTGACCAACAAAATGTAATTTCACATATTGCTTGTCGCAGCTGGTTAGGACATAAACTCAGATTGATGTGGATGAGATACCTTCCATCGCTGCTGGACTATCATTGAATTATTCCCCAGGATTGTGGTCACTTCCCATGTCCTGAGGGGAATTTCAAACAAGCCAATTTCCAGTTGTAGTGAACGGAATAACCTCGTTTGGTGTCGGAGCTCTTGGAATAATCGTCTGCATTTGCATTTAGATAGACAGTCGTTGATGGCCGTCTTGAGCGGCTCTTCTTGGTGTTCAGCGGGGAAATTGGTTTGTTACTTCAGTCTGCTGCGGAAGATTTGAAATTTCCAATTACAAGACCACACTCCATTCGGACACGAGATGTGACACTTCCAGGACTGAGCATGCAGAAAACATGGAGAGCAGGAGAAGAGAGATATAGCCGAGAAAGAAACAGACAGGTCACGATTCGATTAGAGCGAAAGTCTTGTATTGGACATGTTCATGTCTTCATACGGTACTAGAGCAAAGAACAGAGCTGAAATCACCAAGAGATGAGCAGAACTGCGTCAGTAAACACATGCTTTCTAATGACTCTAGTATGTATTGACTTTAGAGAAGTTCACTCAGAAATGAGCATGCTGAAAATGTGCTCAGCCTCAGGCCAAGGCCAAGAAAATTTGGAGAATTTTTAGAGAAATGCAGCATTGCATCAGTGTCTCAGCAATGGATGCTCTGCAGTGAATGGGTGCCGTCAGAATGAGAGTCCAAACAGCTGATAAAAACATCACAATAATCCACAAGTAATCCACAGCACTCCAGTCCATCAGTTAACATCTGGAGAAGACAAAAACTGAAACTAATCCAGCATTAAGACGCTTTTAACTAAAATACCATAGAGTCTATAATCCATAATAACTCTTCCTCCAGTGAAAAAGTGTTCTGGTGTGAATCAGGAGAGAAGTCTGCACAGATCAAGCAGCGTTTAAACAGCTCTAAACTAATATGTGGCTGGATTTTGATGCGAGAGACAACAGCAGATGCACTTTTTCACTAAAAACAAACTCCAATAATCTTTATTTCCAACTTTGAAAAATCCTTTTATACAGTGGGTTGTGTATTTGTTGTTGCGTGCAGCGAGAGAGGTTGACAATATAAATCTGTGTTGTCTGTTTATAATTTTCTCATTATTTTGCGTCGCAGTCTTTAATCACATACAGTTCCGGGCCAAACGCACGACTCGGATAAAACATTTAATTTACTGTGGTGCTGTTGATTCCTGTAGCTCAAACAAAGTCAAGAGCATGGGTTTGATTCCCGGGCAATGCATACAACTGATAAAACGTGTATCTTGAATGCAATGCAAGTCGCAAAATGTAGATTCAGTAGCGCTGCTATATTTTACTACACATCACCGGATGAATGCAGACACTCGAGAACCTTTAATGGAACCAAATGTCATGATAATGATTCATTGTTTTCAATGAAACGCAGCTGCTTCTCTGCACACTGACCTCTGTGTTAAGCAGCACTAGTCCAATTAGTAATTAGTCCAACAGTAATGAATCCAATTAGTGGTTACAATGAGTGGAATTGATTCTTATTACGCTGTGGCTGGATAAATAATTGTTCTGCGGGATTTTATAGTCATAAACACAAGCATGCTTTGTACAGTATGTATTATACAGTACAAAAACATTTTATATCTGGGAAACTAAATTATTATTGTTAAGCACGTCATAAACATCTACATATATTCGCGAACAGAGTATATCACAGTAAAGTTTTGTCTAAACATTCTTTAGTGTTACAGTGTAAACATATTTTTATATCGTATATGTCACTTTGTTTCATAATTACAGTGTATATGTTTTTCGGTATTTACCTCAAAAGAATGGAAGTGAAATGTGACAGCAAGCCCCATAGGTGGGGTACATTGTAACATGACCATAACACAGCTTAAAATGTTATCTGATCCAATGAAAAAATATATATACAAGACAAACTGAAATATTTTGTCAATAAAATAAAATTATTAACTTTTTCAAATAAAATAATGGCGTTTTTTTAAGAATGAAAAATAATCAAATTTTGGAGTTTGACGATGAACACATCGTAACCATGCTGGCGTAAATAAAATAATAGCAGATTTGTCTTATTTTAAATGAATGCTAAAAACTGAGATGAAAAATTTACTTCAGCCAGAAATGTACTTTTATTTTGATAAAATAAATATTAAGTGATATCTTCAAAAGGTTTTTGAATTTTGGCGCACTTTTTTTTATAGTGTTGATATGGCAACTAGTAAATACCATAAATTTGGTTATGCAAGCATGTGTGGAAATATTTAAACCACGTGTGTTACAACTAACCCCGCGTTAGTTTGTGCCCCGTGCTCCCTTACAAGTTTTGTCAAAGTAGCACAATAACAACTAACGCAAGTAGGCTAATAAAAGAAAGACTTACTCATGTAAATGACCTCCTCCGCTGGATCAAGCCTCCTTCTTTTTCTGAGGTAATCCAAAGCTTATTCCTCTCAGCATGTCTTCTTCCAGAAACGAACAGTAGCTGAGATGAACTTGAAGAAAAGCCTCGCTGCTTTGTTTACGGAGGTGATGTTTACATGCCGCATGTCTCACTATTGTAATATCAAAAGCGTGATCACATTAGAGATAATTAGCTCAGATGGGAAAGACTGTACATCGTGTTGGTTTCATACGGATTACTTTATCACAGAATATTTGTTTTTCGACACGACTTACATCGTTTAAAAGTAGACATGCCAAGCTTTCTATAGATATATCTCTCATGTCTGTGTCGAGTATTCGCTGAGTTTCACTTCATTTTTGTGACGCGTTTCTAAATGAAGATCACGGAGACCGAGGCGGCAAAGAGCGCACCCTGTTTGTTTTCTTTATTTTACAAAAGCACAAAGTTTTGTTGTTATTATGAGTGTATACAAATAAATGTAAATCCTTTACAGATTTGATTGATGTATTGCTCTTATCTGTACGATCAAAAATGATGGAGTACTTTAAGTTCCTTTAGGGGTTATCAGAAAAAATGCCACAAAACGCACCGGCGACTGTGCGACTTTTGGCAACTGTAAAAGGCTTGAATAAGAAAATGAATAAGCATCAGGCTGAAGAAAATCTGTACAGTACTTTACTAGTTACTTGAAAAAAGTAATCTGATTACGTAACTTGTAATGCGTTTCCCCCCAACACTGTATATGAATAACTCCACGAATCGTGGTTTTGAATCAAAGGCATTTATTGCTAAAATGTACTTGACAAACAAACAAAACAAACCACATTATCATCATATTCAATATAAGACAATGTGTAAATGAAAACAATGTCAAATACCAGAGAACAAGTGCTTGAGGAAATATTCCCCAACATCTCCACTCTAGCACCAATAGCATATAAATATGTCATCATATAGAGCTTCTTCGTTCGATGCAGTCGTGTGAAAGTCCAACGTACGATCAGTTCATTCTGAAACACACGCTCTAAAGGAAACGTTAACGTGAATCATTCTGACATTATTTAAGATGTTATTTCTAGCACAAAAACAAGATTTGCACTTCAGGAATTCTCCTTTTTGTGTTCGCCTGTGAAAATAACATCATGACGAGAGTAAACAAGGACAGAATGATCATCTGAAGGTGAATTATTCCTCTTTTCAGAAGCAGGAACCATGACCGTCCATCATCTCATCTCCAACATGGAGACCAACGTGTGCTTGTCTTTTGGCGAGCAAAACGGCACTTGTGCCGAAACTCCAAGTGAGAAAAAATGGCACCATGATCAAATCCATAATGATTTGATAAAAGAGCACGACATACAGACCATGAGATTAAAAACACTGTAGGAATCCATCCAAAGAAATAGAAACGAAGCCAGGAGTCACTTGTGTGAACATTTGGATGAACCATCTTGTGCTTATGAAGATCCAGCGTCCAAAAACATTGACTTCAACGCTGAATAATGCGGAAACAATCCATGTGCTCATGACTCAATTCATGTGATGCTTTTCATCATCCGTAACCTCCACGGGTCCAGAAATGTGTCTCTCTGACTTTCAGATGCTTCTTTTGTGCTTCAGTCTGAGTACAAGCCTGCAGTGAAATGCCTTTACCATGGAAGCCTGTTTCTGCCACTGAATAAAAAATAAAAAAGGTAATTGTGACTTTTTTCTCGCAATTGCAAGATATAAACTCACAATTGCGAGTTATAAAGTCAGACTTGCAAGAAAGAAAAAAAGCCAGAATTGCGAGATGTAAACTTGCAATTGTGAAAAAAATGTCATAATTCCAAGAAAAATGTCAGAATTGCGAGAAAAAATCAAAATAGCGAGATATGAACTCACGATTGCGAGAAAAAGTCAGAATTGCGAGATGCATATTCGCAATTACGAGAAAAAATCACAATTGCGAGAAAGTCAGAATTGTGAGAAAAAAAGCCAGAACTGCGAGATGTAAACTTGCAATTGCGAGAAAAATATCATAATTGCGAGAAAAAGTCAGAATTGCCAGATGTAAACTCATAATTGCGAGAAAAAGTCAGAATTGCAAGAAAAGTCAGAATTGTGAGATGTAAACTTGCAATTGCGAGAAAAATTTCATAATTGCAAGAAAAATGTCAGAATTGCGAGAAAAAATCAAAATAGCGAGATATGAACTCACGATTGCGTGAAAAAGTCAGAATTGCAAGAAAAGCCAGAACTGCGCAATGTAAACTTGCGATTGCGAGAAAAATGTAATAATTGCAAGAAAAATTTCAGAATTGCAAGAAAAAATCAAAATAGCGAGATATGAACTCACGATTGCGTGAAAAAGTCAGAATTGCGAAAAGCATATTCGCAATTACGAGAAAAAATCACAATTGCGAGAAAGTCAGAATTGTGAGAAAAAAAGCCAGAACTGCGAGATGTAAACTTGCAATTGCGAGAAAAATATCATAATTGCGAGAAAAAGTCAGAATTGCCAGATGTAAAATCAGAATTGCAAGGAAAAAAGTCAGAATTGTGAGAAAAAAAGCCATTATCGTGAGATGTAAAACTTGCAATTGCAAGATAAATGTCAGAATTGCGAGAAAAAAAAATAAAAATAGCGAGATATGAACTCACGATTGCGAGAAAAAGTCAGAATTGCGAGAAAACGTCAGAATTGTAATAAAAAAGTCAGAATTTCAGGGGAGGAAAAAATCAAAATAGCAAGATATGAACTCACAATTACGAGAAAAAAAGTCAGAATTGCGAGATAAAAAAAGTCACAATTACCTTTTTATTTTTTATTCAGTGGCGGAAGCAGGCTTTCATAGTTTAGCGTCCGTGTGTTAAAAACAGCTGCACGTTTAAACGTTTATATTTGTAAATGGTGTCTAATGGCAAAATGCAATGCAACGGCATCAGTCTGGAGCATTTGCACATAAACTAACAATTAAAAAAAGTGCAAACAGAACATGTCCAGTTTTAGCGGCCCTTAATCTGGACGTCTCTGGACTGATTTCACACGCAAGAACACGCCAGCGGACCTGCGTCAGGAGAGACGGCATATTTAATTTGACACCAATGAACATTGTCACTTAGATTTATTAAAAAATAAAAATAACCCAGACAAATTTTGATGTTGCAGAGAAAGCCTCTGAAAGTTTGAAGTAGTTGTAAAAGAGGCCGTCTTAACATCAGGGCCTGTATTCACAAAACATTTTATCTTACCTCTAAGAGTTCTCCTAAATAGCAGTAAAGGTTTTTAGCTAAGAGTTTTCTCTTAAAACCTATTCACAAAGCTGCTGAGACAAACTTTTACTGAGGAACAGAGAGAAGTCTTAAGCTCAGAGTAAGGGGGCGGGGCTGAGCTCGTTGCTATGGGTGATGTCATCAAGCTTATTAACTATGCACACAGTGATTGGCTGATAGTCTCTGTCAGAGATTTATTCATAGAAATACTGTAGAGCGCGATATTATGTTGCCATATTCAAATAAAGGTTTAAAAATAAAAATGTTATTTGCGACATTCAAATAAAGGTTTAAAAATGCAGGCTAAGTGTCACTAATTAAACAAGTATATGTTTAGCTAATTGTCAGTCTCTTACATGTGTGCTTCTCGTGAACAATTAGTGGATATGCATGTAAACAGCCTTTTAATTAAGAGAGTAGAATAATCATAGCTGATAGTAATTCATGCAAACGTAAACTGGACGCAAGAACAGCAACTGGTTAATGAAGACAAGCATATAATCAAAGGACAATCTGGAGTTGGGATAGCCTCCAAAACCAAAAAAAGATGCATGGGAGAACATCTGTGTGCAAATAAATGCAGCGTGTTACTAAAATGTTTCTGTTCCGAGGCAGATTGCTGGAAACAGCTGTTTCAGGATAGTTTGTGGCTTGGTCTCAGTGACTTAGGACTCCTCTTCACTGCTCCTAACCTTTCACTGATTTAGTTTTAGCACTGAAACGCTTTGTGAAATACTGTGAGTCCTGAATTTAGGCACGGCTGTTATTTTTTAAGATTTTCTCCTAAATCGGCGAGTTATGAGCTACTTTTAGCCTGAAGATGTTTTGTGAATACGGGCCCAGGTCAGTATTAGTATTAGAGAGAGAGCTAGGTCAGAGCCAGAGGTCCTCA